CACCCAGACTCTCTCTCTTAGGATGCCACATCTTTCTGGGCACACTGTATTCCAAGGAGGACTTACTTGATGTCACACAAGGTTAGGCCCCAGACCCTTTCAAGGGCAGTAGCAAAACTGTTAGTTCTTTACTGTAAGTAGCTCTTTATATAAAGTAAATAAAATGTTGTTTCCACATCACAAAGTACCATTATCAAGGTACTACTGGCAGCTCACTTGATGCTTCAGGCGCAAGCTGCAATACTCAGGTAATACCCTATGAGAGGGTAGACACAAGACTCCTGTCATCTTGGCAGTTTCATGGTATGTATTTGTGGCATGTGCTTTTTTTTTCCAGCGAAGAAAACAACTTACCTTCTTAAAACACACACCATATTTGGGGGGGCGGGGGGGGGGGGAAGGTGCATTTTGTATTTGAGAAAATATGATATTTTTCCAGTTTGTCCAGATTTATTTTTTAAATACAGTGCTGAAAGCAGAGCGAACTACTCCAATTGAGATCTAAACAATGCTAAAAAGTGGAGAATAAAATGCTTAACACAGTTATTATACTGGGGTCCATGGACTGTCATTAGTCCACAAAACACTTTGAGTGGTCTGTAGAGATCTTGCTGATCAGGTGGTGCTTTTTTCCGTATTTCCTGCTACTCCATCATATTAGACAGCCAAACTATGTTGTGTTTGTTTTTTCTACTATTAGAATGAATGTTCCATATAAGCAATTGCTATTATTGCCACAAGGGTGCGATGTGATGGTGGACTAAATGCAAATGAGACTAGAGGGAGAAGCTCACAAGATGCAAGTTTTTTGTTCATTTTTAAAGTTGAACCTTAAGTTAACAAAATTAAGTTACTGAAAGCACTAAAATATTGTAATGCACCATTAGGTTGTTAATAGAATTTTTATATATCAAGCAGGTCAACAAAAAGAAAAGATTAAAAAGTAATTTTAGTTTATCTTGTGTATTGTTTTACTGTTGTTTTGGCCTTACTATTGACAAGTGAATCGCATTCATTTATGTACATAACAAATTTGAGAACTTTATGTAGCTAAGTATATCTGATCCTTTATTTTTGGACACATGCTAATGATGCATGATGATATTGCAGTGTCATAAATTGGTTTTGATGCTCTTTTCTTCAGCAGTGGGTTCTTGTCTGAATATTTTCCATTTAATTTCACACAATATTTTTGTACAAAGGAAATGACAAAAAATACTCTGTGGGTTTTTTGTTTCTTTGGGCAAGGAACAAATGAAAATTGTCTAGTTTTTTGTGTTTTTTTTTTTTTTAGTATTAAATTGACTCCAATTATTGTTAGCCATGACAGTGCTGATCATCTGACATTCTCTGAAAGAACTGGATATTTCTAAATGTCAATGACTGCTGAGAGGGAGATGTTTGGTGCAAGCATAATTTCCTCTATGGCTAATGCTTTTCAGCAGCAGGTCGGAATTTGTGTGCCAGCTTCTAATTTTGGCGAAAGTTATGTTTTTATGTTCTAATTCATTAAGTTTTCCTCTAAACCTCCTGTGTCTATTTACCTCTGCTTATGTTCTTTCTTGTTACTGAAATCCTTTTCCGGCCAATGATTTAATTGAACTAGGAATTAATTTTACAAATTTCTTAACTTTTTGATGCATACATTGATATTTGTTGTCTCATCCTTATCCTTAATCAGACGCAAAGAGGGACTTTGTGAATATATTACTTGTTTAATTCTTTTGTGAACTGCCATGCATGGCTTGATATACCTTTGTCAACAGGGTAACTTGTTCTGCACTTTTTTTAAAAGGAACAAGGGAGTTTTAGCTAAAAATATATCAAAATGCCACAGAAGTCATGGCTGCAACTCAAAAATGCTGATCAGTTTTGAAAATCTAAATCAACCCCCTCCATGAATCCTACGGAAGAACTTCTGTGGTAGGAGAAAGATTTCCAGAAATTTACCACAGTCTTGTTCTAAATTGGAGTTTATGCTGATGTTGCCAGAAAACTAAGAAGAGATGGGAAAAGCAGGAAACATTATTGAATTCAGCCACATTGCCAATTTGGAAAAGCAACTCTAAATGTAAAAATGTTTTTTCCATTTCTGGCTTATGTGTACAATGCTTCAGAACACTGGGTAGATATAAATTTTACTTTAAAAAGGCACTATTCTTTTTATAATTTTACGATAAAATTCACCAGATCTTATTATCAACAAAGGCAATTTTTCACATTGGAAGAATGTGTTGGTCTGTGATAAAATGTATAGAATTGTACGTGGTTTTGCGATGGTGATTATTAGTCCAATACTCAAGTGACTAGCTCAGTTGGCAGCCTTCAGTACTGTGTGGATGGTGGATTAATTTGCTGTGGACTTGCCGCTGAGCCTAGTAACAAAAGACAGAACCACTTTTAAGATGGCTCTGCTAACTTTTATTGAATAGATAGATGTTAGAATAGACCTGGACAGCTCTAAACCTTCACTTCTAGGGCTCTCCATTCTTGTGTCCCACAGGATTCAATCTTATCACTGATATTCTTCACCATAAAGGAAACTTAAGAAATAGTAGCTTCCTTCATTGGTTGCTGTTTGTTGCACTCATTTCTCTTAAATACAGAGCCTGTCATAGTTGGTCATCCCTTTGTCTCCTCAAAGCTTGACTGCTATAACATATTCTACCTGAGGATATTTTTGAAGTCTGCTTGAAATATTCTGCTATGCAGACTGATATACCCAGCCACTGATTGCTAAGAGCTTTGAATTTTTGATCAGTATTATTGTATGTTGTTTTCTAGGTGCCAACTAGGAGAATGGATGATGATGATTTTGGAGGTTTTGAGGTATGTCATATTTTGATGTTTGTCGAAAAAAAAAGATTAAAAAAATGTTTTGAAAGTGCATAATTTGAGAGGATTGATAGAGATTATAATTAGTAGTAGTACAATTGTTAAAACGAAATTGGACCAATTTGTCAAAGTTAAAGCAGAATTTACCACACGTGTATTTAATAATTGGAGGGGGGGGGATTTTTTCTGGGTAAGTCAGAAATTGGGTTTGCTCAGCAGCTACAGAAATCAGGCCACTCCACTAAATGTCTATGTTTCAATATCTAAGATTAGATATTGATATTTGAAAAATGTGGAGTAGGTTTTAATATGATTTCTGATTACTTCTGTTGCCTAATAAGTGTAATATGCTCCTTTCTGTGCATCAGATGGCTTGTTTTTAATTTAAAATTGTGAAAATGTAAGATTTTAAAATGCTTGCTCAGTTAGGGATTGGAATTTCTTTTGAAGCCATTTATATGTGAATTTCTTTCCTTTCTTGTTTTTGTGTTTTAACTAGTAACATAAAGTAGTGGATGCTCATTAGAGCAGGACAGATACTACAGAAAAAAAAATGTTATTTTTCTTTTAGTAACACTAATGCGATGCAACGTAGAGCACTGATAATGGAATGCATTTGAAAAATCTGTCCTAGTGATAAACGTGGTCATTAGAAAGTACCTGCTGGAAAGCCTGTGTCTAAAACTCTTAAAATATTTTCCATGTTTCTAGGCAGCAGAAACCTTTGAAGGTGGAGATGGTGAAACACAGACTACATCTCCTGCTATTCCTTGGGCAGCGTTTCCCACAGGTATTGGTAATGACTAATCCAAGTTCATCTCTTTTGCAGATGACTTCCCCTGCTCTCAGGCATTTTCAATAAAGCAGTGGTTGCTACTTTGGTAATAGCGTAAACCTGGCATGTTGGTATGATTCTCTGTTCTGTAATTGTTCTGGCATATAGCACAAATATTCTTGAGGAATGAGAGTGAGAAAGAAGACAAAAATGGTTTTTCAATTGTTCACAAACTGTGTGGAATTTCATGGGACAAAGGAAAAACATTTCTCTAGCTTGAGGGCATTCCCCCCACATGTACATCAATGGTCTGCTGTAAACAATAGGAGGTTAGAAATCTTCCTTAAGAGATCACAAGAATTCTGTATAATGATTGCTAGTTGCTTTCCCTGTCATAGAAATTTATATGTATAAATAAATTCTTACTCGTGCATGTATATGTACCAGTGAGTTATCACAGGGCATTCCAGGTTAGTGGCAGTAAATCTTTATTCCACAGAACATTCTGTAAAATGTCTCATGTTTTAGAAAATACTAAACATTTTCTTGGATATTATATTGTATTATGTTAGTTATAAAGTTAGATTTCCTTAGCACCTTAATCTCTGCTATGCAGAGTTCTAAGGGAAGAAAACAGAACATGTATTTGAAGCCTTCAAAAAAGTGTCTTAAAATATCTTTTCTGTAAATGTCATTTCTGTAATATAGAATATCCAAAGTTATTTCAGGGCTAGAAATAAAGGCTGCCTTTGGAAAGCCTAAACAATCTCTCCTTTGCAATAATGTAATGTAATGTAATATAATATAGTCTTGTAGTGGTACAAGATATGTACCTTAAACTTGCTCTAACCTCTAACTTTAGACCAGTGGAATTGGAAGAAAATGACACTTTTTACTCCAAAAAGGAAACTGTTCTATTTCAGTATGATTTTAAAATTTAGATAAGGAAGTGAATGAAATTGTTCGTAGCTTGTCTAGACAGAGAAGTATTAATGTACAGCAGGGGCTTCCAAACTGTGGTACATGTACCCCTGGGGGTTAAACAGGAGGAATTGTATAATGGCAAATTTAATTTTCATTATAGTACTAATTGGCATTTAAGGGGTTAAAATATAAAACATGCTGGTAGGAGTACATGGGTAGCTGGTAAATCTGGAAGAGGGTACTTAGTAAGAAAAAGTTTGGGAACCTTTGTTGTACACCAATCTCAGATATGAATTTACAGTACGTTACTTGGTCTGTTAACTCCCCACGTGGATACTTGTATTGTGTATACATTTCAGAATAGCTAATTACACAAGTAACTGTCTCACAAGAGACTGTCCACATGATAGGGATTTACTGTGGAGTAACTTGTATCCCTTAAATTCCCATTTTGTACGCTGACTTTGTGTGGATAAACCTTTAGAGATTTGACAGATTAATAGTGCTGGGGACGTGGATTAACAGCAGTGTGCGAGATAAATGGGATTAATTGCTTAACAAATATAGCAAGTCAGATTACAATACAAATAATGTAAGAGTCTTATCTCCTAATATTTCATTCTGAAAATTGCAAAAACTCATACTAAGGAGACTATTAGTGATTTCCATATACCATCCTACACGTTTAAAGACTAATTCAAATTAATAATGCTATCTACTATAGATATACACTATACTGATTTAAAGAAGTGTAAAAACTGTAAATGATAGTATTAGCTCCTGCTTTTGCCATCTCCACTATAAACCGGCCACCCTTTGTATAGGAGCGTTCACTATGCAGAACTGCAGAAGTATGTGGTTCACATCCCTGGGATTAGGCTTTATCAGCTCATGACTTGTACCAAATTAATAAACATACTTTTAAAGCGGTTTTAAACCACTTGTTTTGATTGTTTTATTACAGCTTCATCTATATGACTTGGAGGTGCTGGATTTCAGCTAGGATGTAAAAAAACAGATCAACCGATTACCAGCCACATATAGTATCAACTTTGGAAAAAATTGCCAACAGCTCACAATAAAGAAACAGCTCTTAAGCTAATGCTCTACTAAGAGTTTATATTTGCCAGTTAACTTGGTGGTTGGGAATTAGTCTGTTTTTTATCTCAATAAAATAAACATATATCTTTTTAAAAAGTATTTAAAATAATATTTGAACTTTCAGCTAGGAACTAAAATTCTCTCCTATTATAGTACTTTACTGAAAAAATCGCAAACTAATTATACCTATATAATCCCATGTAAATTTTGCACAATTGTTATTCCTGTGCTGGTTCTTAAACTCCCTTCTGATTTGATGTTATTTGCATTTAACTCCATTGACATTCACCCTGCATATATATATATATATATATATATATTGTGTGTGTATATATATAACTGAAAAAAAAGAAACTATCAGCAAAGAAGACCTGTTGTTACAAAGAAGTTTTGTATCAGTCATGCTATTTTAGTCTTCTACAAGGCCATATACTTAAATGCATATCAAATAATGTGTTAGTGAGGACCTGTCTACAAGTACAGATAAAGGCACAATAAGATCTAATGCATGATCCACACAATCATGCCTCCTGCTGTGCATGGTAGGGGGCATGATTTTGGAATCCAGCGTAAGGTCCTATTATGCCTTATTGCCAGTACATATGCACTGTAAAATAGGGTACTTACAGCCCCAGCTGTGACCGACATGCAACCAGCACTGTGAATCCTGCAGCTGATGGGACTTGCAGTCCTGCATGCAAGTAGGGCACACCCAGGACTGTGAGTCACATTAGCTGCGGGACCACTATCTCCTGGCCACGGGGAGCATGGTAGGTATTCTGTACCTGGGAGATTGCAGTTGCTCTGATCTCCCAGCTGTGGGGTGCATGGAGCACCCCCGTGGATAGGAGATCACAGATGCTAGTCGAGGTGCCACCATGCACCCTTAGAGTTGGAAGATCACAGACATGCTCTCCTGGGACCCAGAGTTCTTCACCTGACAGGCACTGCAAGGGCTGAGAGTCCCCTCGGCTCTGGGATTCCTAGTCCTGGATGCCATGGCACACCCTATGGCTGGGAACCCAGCCAGCTGATAGGGCTCCCAGTAGTAGGGCAGAGCCTGGTACACATACAGATTAAAGGGGGATAGCAACCAGTTATAAAGTTAGTACATATTTTTGAGGTCTAACTTTAAAGCTGGTTGGACCTTTTTATGGTGTGATATACGTACTTTGCATGTATAGCTGGGCTTAGTTTAATTGTGCAGTTCTCCAGTTAATTGCACAATAGCTGTAAAGTGTAGAGGGCACCTGAGTTTCACCATCTCATTCTAGCCTACCTATCTGTTATCTGTTTTCTGAGGTGTAATTGAAGCCAAACATTACACCTATATACCTGAATTTGAAATCATATTTAAAAGTTTTCTGTGATTTATGCGAAACTGAATTTTCTAAGGTTGCTTGTTATACTGGTTTAAACAATGTTTTAGAATTAAGAAAAGCCTTTTATTCGAGTGTAATATTACAAATTGAAACTCCCAATTATATTTTTTATGTCTACTGTACCATTTCTAGTGCAAGTATACCCCACAATAGTTTAACAAATTAAATAAATGTTATAGTTTCATAGTTTCACAGTTGGTAGGGTTGGAAGGGACCTGAGCAGATCATAAAGTCTGACCCCCTGCCGTGGCAGGAAAAAGTACTGGGGTCAAACAACCCCAGCGAGGTGTTAGTCTAACCTCCTCTTAAAGACCCCCAGGGTAGGAGCCAGCACCACTTCGCTTGGAAGTTGGTTCCAGATCCTGGCCGCCCTGACAATGAAGTAGCGCCTCCTGATGTCTAGTCTGAATCTACCCTCTGCCAGCTCGTGACTGTTATTTCTAGTCACTCCTGGTAGTGCTTGGGGGAACAGGGACTCCCCCAATACCTGCTGGTCCCCTCTGACTAGTTTGTAATAGGCCACTAGATTTGCCCTCGGCCTTCTCTTGTGGAGGCTGAACAGGTTCAGGTCCCTCAGCCTCTCCTCATAGGGCCTTCCCTGCTGCCCCCTGATCATGCGGGTGGCCCTCCTCTGAACCCTCTCAATGCTGTCCACATCTCTCCTGAAGTGCAGTGCCCAGAACTGGACATCAGTACTCCAACTGCAGCCTGACCAGTGCCACATAGAGGGGGAGGATCACCTCCTTGGACCTGCTCGAGATGCATCTGTGGATACATGACAAGGTGTGGTTGGCCTTTCTGACCGTGTCCCCACACTATCAGCCCATGTTCATTTTGGCATCAATAATGATTCCAAGATGCCTTTCTGCCTCTGCACTGACAAGAAGGGAGTTCCCCAGTATGTGGGTATGCTGCTGGTTCTTCCTCCCCAGGTGCAGCACCTTGCACTTGTCAGTGTTGAAACCCATCCTGTTCTCATCTGCCCACCCCTGTAACCTGTCTAGGTCCAATTGCAGCCTATTCCTCCCTTCTAGCATGCTCACTTCGCCCGACATCTTGGTGTCATCAGCAGATTTGAACAGGGTGCTTTTTACCCCTTGTCCAAGTCACTGATGAAGATGTTGAACAGCGTGGGTCCGAGGACCGAGCCCTGGGGGATCACACTGCCCACATCCCTCCAGGTCGAAAATGACCCATCCACCACCACTCTGTAAGTGCGGCCCTCCAGCCAGTTAGCCACCCATTTGACTGTGTAGATGTCGACGCCACAGTCCCCTAGTTTTTTAATGAGAATGGGGTGAGAGACAGTGTCAAAGGCCTTCCTGAAGTCCAGAAAGACTACGTCCGCTGCTACCTCTGTGTCTAAGGCTTGTGTGGTCATAGAAGGCCACCAGGTTGGTCTGACAGGACCTGCCTCTAATGAACCCATGCTGGTTACCCCTAAGCATAACCTCCCCTGCTGGCCCCTCGTGGACATGCGCTAGGATAATTCTCTCAAAAAGCTTACCCAGGATCGAGGTAAGACTAACTGGCCTATACTTCCCTGGGTCCTCCTTCCTCCCTTTTTTGAAAATGGGAACCACATTAACCCTTTTTCGGTCCTCTGGC